TCCACTATTTGAGTGGACAGTCCACTTTTTTCACATTATGTTCACTATTTTTTTTCACAAAATAGTGGACATTTTTTTTATTCAAAAGCTTTATGATGAAATGGTACGTAATCTAAAGCTGTACAGTCTACTTTTTTTACTACTTAACCCCCCCCCCCGCTTGTCCGCTATTTTTTGGAAGCAGACCTGGCAACCCTAATGATGGGCCCAGTTTACATAACATGCTTACCCATAAACCTACTAATTACGAGATGGCTTAATATGTGCAATCCCAGAAATAGTCTCTCAAAGCCTTCTGCATCCTGGTGCCTTTCAAACATGCAAGCCACAAACCATTCCTGCCAAAGATCATCTAAAAGTGTGACCAGTTCCATTTCCATCCATTAGTCTGGCCTTAATCTTGACTGAAAGTGGTCCAAATAATCCGCTTCATCCAGGGTCCTCTGCAACTGCTGAACAGCCTTCTTTCTCCACCACCTTCCCCCCAAAAAGGGGAAGTTAAATTGGGCTTCTAGGAAGGTCATAATGGTCATAAGTCACTTTTTCCAGTGCAATTTTTGTCCAGTACAGGTAGTCCTCAACTTACAATAGTTCATTTAGTGACCGTTCAAAGTTACAATGGCACTGGAAAAAGTGATTTATGACCATTTTTGACCTTCGTAGAAGCCCCATGATCATGTGATCAAAATTCAGATGCTTGGCAACTGGTTCATACTTATGACCGTTGCTGTGTCCCAAGGTCATGGGATCCGCTTTTGCGACCTTCTGACAAGCAAAATCAGTGGGGAAGCCAGATTCACTGAACAACTGGGTTACTAAGTTATCAACTGCAGTGATTCACTTAAGAACTGTGGTGAGAAAGGTCGTAAAATGGGGCAAAAACTCATTTAACAGATGTCTCACTTAGGAACAGAAATTTTGGGCTCAATTGTGGTCATACGTCGAGGACTATCTGTAGGGTGGGATCCATCAATGGTTTCTTGAGGAGGAACAAACTGCTCCCCCAAGGAAGAATTCACCACTGCTGGAACCCCCACACACTCCCCAGTCACATTTAGTTAAAAGAGAAGTGGTTTTGATCAGTTATAAGGACCCTACCCATTTTCTCAGGCCAACAAGTTCAGATAACAGGGTAAGATGCTGTTCCAGACATCCCCCCAGGATCTGCAACAAGACCAGCATTCAAATGAGAACAAACTGGAGAGATTTCGGTAGACAGATGCTGAGCAAATTCTTTTGCAAAGCCCTATAAGGGGATCTCTGATTCCACCTCCACCCCTTACCCAAGAGGGCACATGTCACCTGAAACAAAGCTGTGGAACAGCTATCTATGAATGCAATAAAACTGAAGTATTGTCACTTTGGCCACCTAATGAGAAGGAAGGACTCACTGGAGAAGAGCCTAATGCTGGGAAAGACTGAGGGCAACAGAAGAAGGGGACGACAGAGAATGAGGTGGATGGATGGGGTCACTGAAGCACTAGGCGTGAGCTTAAATGGACTCCAGAAGATGGCAGAGGACAGGAAGGCCTGGAGGAACGTTGTCCATGGGGTCGCGATGGGTTGGACACGACTTCGCAACTAACAACAACAAATTGTCACTTTGCCACTCTTTCTGCCACAAGGATAACCATGGGTGCTGCTCTTGAAGGAAAATCAGGTTACACATGGAGTAAGTAAATAAAATTATATTTACTCAGTGCCACTAAGGTTTCACAGGTGTCCTGGTGAGTTTCTTTGTAAGGCTTCTGCTTAGGATCTACAACTAGCCACTGATTCTCCATCCTTCAGTCCCAAATCACCTCCAGACAATTAACCGGCTCCTAAAACAAGAAGAATGTTATTCACACCATTGACACATATGATCCCTTATCGTGGCAGTGGCTAATAATCAAGGCAATGCAATGGCTACGACAGCAATAGCACTCAGCTGGAAGTCAGGACACACTGCCTTTTAAAAATAAATCTTCTAACTTTACATTTCCATCTGGATTATCAGTTTGGTACCCAACTCACTGGGTTCTGTTGGAGTTATTTATGGAGGTAAGATAATGCTAGACCTTCTACCTTTAATTCTGAATATGCTGAAAATAGAAGCCACCTCTGTTCATAATCGCCTCTAATGTTGAACTAGATATTGCATTTTACCCAGCAAGAGAGGCTGCTATGAAATGTTTTTGCAGGTTATCTTGCTTGCATTCACACATATGTGGAACTCCACTTGGGCAGGGTCTAAGGAGGTGAATCTGACAATGCCTTGAAGGTTGTCCTGCCTCCTACGAATTGGATCTTCGCCCTGACTTCAGTGCCTGGGAGAGATGTGAGATTCAGGGTGAAGTATCACAATATATCCGTGGAATCTTTGGTGTTCTCCGAGTTTGGTTGTTTTCTTGCAGACATCTCATTACCCAGCCAGGTAACATCATCAGTGATAGCCATCAATAAACCCACAGGATATACTACTAAAATTTTCACTTCTGTAACCTTTAACTGGGTGCAACAATACATCATAAGGCAACACTTTTTCAACTGAGGTAGCTCAAATGGGCCAACTTACAGAATGTATCCAAAATCCAGGACCTGGAATTGAAATCTGGCCAATTTTACAAAACATTTTATGACATAAAAATCATCAT